CTTGTGTCCTGGCTCCGTGCAACAGAGCTTGCCGTCCCGTGAGGAGCCGCACCGTTGCTACATCTTGCGATGTTGAGCATCTACCACCCCTAAACTGCTATTTCTATCGGCCGGATTTCCATGCAAGTGCCATGTCAGGTGCAGGGTTTTGTTTGCTTTGCTTGAGCACGGCCTTGGATGCTGGTTGTCATTACTACTTCCACTGTTGGTAATTGTTATTGTTGTTACTGTTATTGCTGTTCTTCCTACTGTCGTCGCAGTCATTGCTGTTCCGGGGGGCAGAGGGTTTGCGGTCTAGGCTGAGGGTTCAGAGTTTGGGGTCCGTGGTTTATGGCTCTATGTCGACTGGCAATACCAGCAACAGCTCAGTTGCTGAGTTCATAAGCCCCAAAAAATGTACATTTTTGGTTTGATAGTGGGTCATCTTACCCCGAAAAGTGTACAGTGTATCCGCTCAGCTACAAAGACAGCTTTTCGCAGGTCCTGATGGGAGGCCACCACCCATGCCGCCAGGGCAAACAGAGCAACTCGGCCTTTCGAATTCGGCGAAAGGGGATTTTGGGAGCTACTGTCGATAATATAAATCCTGCAATACCTTAAGGACTCTAAACTACGGAAATTATGGTAAACTCCTTATTATGGGTAATGCAGGATTTAGATCATCAACCGTACGGAGCGGTCGTGCACCTTCCGAAAGCCAAGCTCCGAACCCTGCACATGAGTCAGATGCTGAGGCCCCCGGCGCCGTGCCGGCATGTAGGCTTCACTGTTGATGCTCGAGAGCCAAGATATCGCTGCGGAGCGGAGAAAGCAAGTTTCCTCAGTTTCAGCCTTCCTCTTCGAGGATGCTTGCGCGCTTTTGAAGGGCTTTCCAGTTGAGCGAAGCTCAGCCTGAAGGCAACGGCGCAACGACTAAGAAGTGCTGACTGTCAGCACGAAGTGCGATAATTAGTAATAACACTGATGGTTAATATTCTGATATCGAAGTTGATATTCATATAATATTGATTTTGGAAGGAAGATTCTGCATGAAGACTAAGGTGCCGCAACAGCACTGATATTAATCTTAATATAACTTCGATATCAATATAAATTAGTAATACTGGTCAAGACTTCAAGGCTTCGTATGGCTTGCGCCTGAACATTGGAACTCTAGCCCCTGAACACCCCCGAAAAAAGAGCCCAAGTATGTTTGGGCCGGAAACCCTACATTGCATAGAAATCCTATAGTCACCCTGTATCATATCCCCTGAAACAAACATTTTATAACCCAGGTATGCTCACATGTAGAAACCTTGTGGTAACCCCTTACACTATCCTCCACAGCAACCCATAGTAACAACCCCTACAGTGACCAATGTATCTTCTGCAGCAAGCCTTGTGAATGAACCTTAAAGTTTGCCTCTGTAGAAACCCTAAAACTTGGCAAAAAAAACTTGATAACATCCCCCCTAAAGCAAATCAGTATCCCCAATAGCAAGCCTTAGTTCTAACCTCTGCAGTTTCCCATGGAAGAAACCCCCTAAACCCTAAACCCCAATCCCCTAAAATTTGAACCCTAGACCCTAAACCCAAAACCCTAACCTTTCCTAAACCCTAGGCCCTAGACCCCTTAGAAGGGTTTCTTGAGCCCATCCTTTCCCGGCTGCAGCCTTCTCCGTCGGGTTTAAGGCCTTCTTCGGATCCTCTTGACGAGAAAAAGCAGCTTAGGGTCTAGGGATCATTTAGGGCTGAGGTTTGGAGCAGCTTTAGGATTTTTGGCTTTTGTCTTGCAGTTTAGGGCTGAGGTTTGGAGAGAAGTTGAAGGCTTCACGAGGAGTTTTGAAGCTCCCGCCCCTTGGCTTGGACCTGATCTTCCGATTTGAGGAGAAGGAGTTAGGGTTTAGCATGTAGGGGCTTAGGATTTGGGGTAGGATTTAAGCCTTGAGGTTGGCTTTAAGCCCCCTTTTTTATATGCTTGCAAAATAGGGTTCTACAGGGTTTAGGGTATTTTGGCCATGCCAGTACCCGTTGTGCTTGGCTACGAGACGGGAACACTTACCAGAATACAGCGTCAACTAGCGGAGGCATTCCTTGGCGCCAGTGTCATGTTTAAAGGATCATGGGAATTTAGTAACTAGGGTTATAATTAGGGTAACTCTACTTATAACTACGTATAACCCCAATTAAGGTACTTATAACCTTACTTACTAAGTCCCATGATCCTCCAAGCAATGAGGCTTCTCTTCACATGCGAAGCAGCACCCTGCGCTAACGACCATTCCGGTGAGCTGCCAAGGATCCTTTCAATCGGAAACCATGAAGATCCAAAATCCCCAGAGCCCTGAAGACCCTGAACTTCAAAACCGCAAAAATCGATCTCTGAAGTCACTCGTATTGCGCGGAGCCTTGGTGTTCCACAAGACATTGATCTGCGACGTGGGGGGTGGGGTGGGCACAGCGCGGCGCTCAGGGTTTGGGGTTGAGGGTTGAGGATGGTTCTTGCACTTACTATGGAGGAGGGCCGCTGTGACATCGAACCCCAAGCATCAAGGCATGTACCACAGAGTCAGCGGAACAATTACTGAGAGCCCCAAAATGAAGAACCGGTTCTCCACCTGACTCAGCGCACAAAGAAGTTGCATCAAAATGCCCCCAACCCGCACTCATGGAGCCCGCTAGTGTAAGCTTCTGCGATTGCAATGATGTGGAGAAGCTTCCCACTCTCTCAGGCCATGAAAGCCGGAGACCGAAGATGCTAAAATACTACCTCTATTCGCCAGCTGTTGTAGAGCGCCAGGTCGAGCCCCAAGCACCTCGCCTGGAGTTCCAGCTTCTCATTGCTGGCCTCCTCGTAGACCTTGCAAAACGCATGCGGGCTCAAGGCTTGGAGTGCGGGGTCTCGGGTGTGGGCTTCAGGATACAGAGTTTAAGGTACCGACCCGTTAGCACTGTAGAAACTCTTTCGAAGAAACCTCGTGGCTCAAGCTTGAGATGCCGAGGTCTCACACCGGATACATATGGGTTCGCTCGAGACTGTGGGTACCCTGTTGGCGAGTTTCCGAAAAATGGAGGTATCTTATGTTGGGATCATTTGTAGAATAACGATCCTACTATTTTTGGTACTATATTAGTGTTCCTATTTTCGGAAACTCCCATTTATAAGGGTCCTAGTGGTCCCCTGTCTTCCGAACTCACATGGTAGAGGGATTCCACCCTGCAGCTTGGCTGGGCTCCCGGTGAAGCTGAATTGAGGTTTAGCTGAAGTGAGGTTTTCAACCTGAAGTCTCTTAGTAGACTAGAAAATTGCGAGTTGCTGCGATACTCCATAGCCAAAATGGCAGTGAATCACAAAGCCGCACCTTACCATGCGCCAGATGACTGTACTCATGTTTCATGAAACCGTGATTGTGCTCGTTTGGTCTCTTACTCGGCGTTCTCTAATCCGTTGATGCAGTTGCTACGGTGCCTATATTGCCTGACCTGACCATGTTGCTATGTGACTGTACTTGTGCCTCATCCTACTGTGATAGCGCTCGGCTGATCTCTTCCCTAGCTTCCCGTTCCAGCCGAAGCCTAGGCCGAAACCTCGTGCCTGAACTCTTCGGCCTGAAACCCTTGGAAGCCACACAACCCTAAAGCTCAAAGGGCAAACACACACCTCCGTAGCCCATCTCATCTCGTTTGAATAGTCCGACATCCTCAAACTTACTTTCCCACATGCCTGCTCCATTTCGTCCATGAGATCCACAACGTTCATGCTTGGTGTGATCTTGAAGGGATTTGCCTCCGCGACTGTCCAGAAGAAGGGCGTCGGTCTTGAAGGAGATAAGGGCTTAAGACTAAGAAGTTCAAGGGGATTCAAAGCATCCTGGTTCGTAAAACCGAGGCTATATCCTATATATTAAATACTATATTCTATATTGATACTAGATACCATACACTATATAGTAGATACTAGATACTGGATGATACTCTGCACTAGATACTATTCCATACGATACCGTGCTACATAAGACCATACTATGACTATACTTCGATGCAGGTGCCACCGCTCGAAAAAAAACCGAGGCATCGGTGGCCTTCGAGTCAAAGACGAAGCCGTCAGGCGCCTGCTCCAGCCGAAAGTAGTCTCCGTTTAGGGTTTCGGATCTAAGCTGCACTTGAGGATTGGTCCAAACAAGGGGGTTCCTGGAGTGGAAACTGTCCTCAAGAAGCACCTTGGGCTGCAGCTTCCAAAAGAGTCAAGTTGGAGATGTCCAAGCTACTGAGTTCTTGCTGCTGGCTTCAGAAGGTGGAAGCTCGAAGACTCTACATCAAAGGTCCACCAGAGTTGCCCGAGTTTCAAATTCACAGTGCGCCGTGAAGCCGAAGCAGCCACCGGAAACCTAACAAAGCGCAAAGGCTCTGCTGGGAGGTGTGCAGCTGTGACTACAAGCCTTCATAGAAGGATGCAGCCATGCCCACAGGGTGATTTCCTGACGTTGGCGGACGGCTGCTGGACCGCTCGGCACCAGTCGGATTAGGGATGATAGCACCAGTCAGATTAGGGATCATGGCTTTGAAGTTCTCTGGCAAGCACGCAAGTCGACTGGAAGCGGCTGCGCTGCCTTGAGTGCAGGCAAACATTTTTTGCCGTGCGCGCGTGTCTGCGTCGGAATATGTGCTTGTATGACGGCGATTTCGCGGCACCAGCGCTAGATCTATACACGGTGATGCTGGGACGTGGCGGCGCCAGCATCTTCGGAAATGGGGTCTGGCACTCACTGCAAGAATGTCGAAGCTGGCACCGCTCTCCCAGGGAATGCAGCAACAAACAATCATCCGATTTCTGCTGATTGTGGCCACATGTTTTCTGTGCCACTGCATGCCAGCGGCGACTGTCTTCTATGCTCTCCTCTCGCATTAGCTCAATTTCTCCAGTGTTTCTAAGGCTCAGCACTAATCTCTTCAACGCTGAATCTGTCGCCCCGAAACGATCGAAAACCCATCCGAGGGCCGCTGAACGAACCAACCCTTCCTCACTCGTCCGCGCTCCAGGGGAAGGGCTCCGGTGGTTCAGGCTCCTGCACTTGGAGGATCATGGGACTTCTTAAGTAAGGTTATAAGTACCTTAATTGGCGGTATAAGTAGTTATAAGTAGAGTTGCCAAAATTATAGCCCTAGTTACTAAGTCCCATGATCCTTTAAGCAGAGCATCAGAAACTCCCAAGATAGGGGCCTCGGTACTTACTTTCGGGCACAATCTGATACTATTTGTTCCGACTCCCCTTACTTTCGGGCACCATCATATGGAGCCTTGATACTATTTGTTCCGACTCCCACATCTGTTTTGTTGGTTCGCCTAGATTCTGTCCTGAACTGCAGCTGTCGGCAAAAGGGCGGCTAACATCATGGGTCAAACGGCGAAGCTTCTCGGCGCTGGAGGTCCTTCTCCTGCTCGTCTTCCTCCCTTTTCTCGCTTTCCAAGAACAGTTCCTGGCAGAACGGTGCCATAGCCCTATGCCTCAGATTCCGAAGCTCTGGGTGGGAATGTAATGAACCCTCAACCCAACAAGCTCATGACACCAAAGCTGCCGTGGAAAGGTCCGTACTTGGAGAAACTCTAAAGCCCCCTCCGGAAGCCACGCCCTCAGTCTTAAACCCTCCGTGCCAAAAATCTATAACCCCACCCCTCCCTCTCCCCCCCCCGTCTCTGCGTCCCCACCCAAGGGCCAACTTGCTCTGGCAGAGGTGCCTCCGGCTCCTCCGGCCGCAAGTCCCGTAGAAGGAGGAAGCCCTGCTTCCTGGACTCCAAGAGCGGCCTGGACGACAGGGGCGGCTTCGCAAAACTACGGGTACCGGTACCACGTGCTCGTCGTAGTCATATACAATAGTTGAATAAAGAGCAAAGACAGTGGCAGGACTGCCTTGAAGCCCAAACCTCGAACCGCAACCCTTAACCCCTCAAGCCCTAAGCCCCTTAATCTGGACCTTAAAACCTCAAGCGCTGAGCCCCGGAAAATATGCAAAAATGTATCAGAAAAAAAGAAGCCGAACAAGAGTCCCAAAAGGAATCAAAGGGAGCCCAAAAAAAGACCGAGAGCAGGACTTGTACCGCGCAGTCGTGCCGGCGACCTCCTGGACAGGAGCAAAAGATCCGGCGGGGCTCTAGGGTTTGAAGGTTTAGGCCTTGAAGGTGTGCGTTCAGGTTTAGGGAATTTTAGGGCTTCGTGGTTGGGTTAGGGGTTCAGGCTTTTCGTGTCTAATTTGGAGTTTGGGGATCGGAAGTTTGGGTCAGGCCATTTGCGGTATGTTGTTGGGAACTGCTTCGGGAGGGCTTGCAAAGCGATTGCAGCAATGCTAATAGCAACAGTGAGGCTTCAGAACAAGGAAGGCAACACTTCCAGAACTGCTAGAACGGACGATATGGGTCATACTGGCCTACTGCTCCACTACGACTCTTGACCTCAAAACCCCTAAACCCCGGACTGTAAACCCGGAAGCCTACGATCTCTCAATGCCTAGGGCCATGTCAGGACTTCACGCTTAGCTCGGCTCCTTCGGAAAGGAGATGAACTGCACCTGCCCCTTGAGAACCTCAGCTTCCGGTGCTGCCTTGTTTTATGGTCACCACCCGTCGTCACTTCTACTAGTAAGTATTGTTGCTGTTCGTATATCTCTTCTTAGTCTCTTTCAATCTCCAATTCTTATTCCTATTATTCGTATTTTTCGTGATTATTGCTATGACTGGTACAAGTTATCATGACCATCATCACTACTACTACAAATATAACTCGTCTCATTGTTGTTGCTATTATTATGACTGTTATTTACTGATGTCAGTTTGACTAGGATTCTGTCTCGGCACAGCCAGCTTTCATGCTCCGGCAGCCCCGACCCTCTGTGTAGCTGTGCTGACAGAGGCGCTGAACTTCGGCTTTGGGCTTTGGCATTGATATAGCCGGCAGGGCTTCACCCTAAAACCCGAAACCCCTGAAGCCCTCAAACCTTAAACCCTGATCCTGAAAACGCTAAACCCTAACTAACCTCGAAAACCAAAACCCAAAACCCAAAGCCCTAAACCCTAAACCCAAAGCCCTATACCCGAAACCCTAAGCCCCAACCCCTAAACCCAAAACCCGAAGCCCTAAACCCAGAACCCTAACTCGAAACACATGCCTTGGGGCTCTCCTAAGGCCCGGGCACGGCATGGGTTGCTCAAGATCTCCTCCATGACATACCAAAACTTTGAAATCATAATATACTCAAAGATCGGGCAACATCCTATACGAAAATAGGGTAAATTGTACAGGGAAAGAGAACATACTCTGATATTCGTGTAATATAATATACGATGATATACCGTATCATACCAGAAATACCTTAATATACCGTAACCTGCTGTGAACAGCCAGAATATACTATAATGTACAGTAGCGGTTAGAAAGTCTTGGCTGAGACTACTTCTGTGTTTTGCGGGCTATGGTATATGGTTTGCTTGGGGGTTCCACTCGGGCTTCTGGCTTCAGCATGTACCCGAAACGGTTGATGATTTAAATCCTGCATTACCCATAATAAGGAATATACCATACTTCCCATAGCTTAGGTTCCTTAAGGTAATGCAGGATTTATATCAGCATGTGGGTGGTTGTCAAAATTATGGTCCCTTTTTGGGTACCCTAAATAATAGGTGCCGTACAATATTAGGGACCCAAAAATAAAAAGGTACCCTAATTTTGACAACTGGCCCATGTACCCGAAAGCAGTGCAAGCTTTCAGCTGGCTTCAGATGAAGGTGTCCCATCGGGCATAAACAACTAGAATAGGGATTTGGTTAAAAATTGGAATAGGGTTTGGGGGCCCTTATACTGTATTTATAATAAGGTGCCTAAGGTACTGATTTGGGGTTATATTATACTATAAGTACAGCAAGCAATTCTATATGAGTTAAGGTCAGTTCAAAGGTTCAGTCGGCATTGAGGCTCTCTGAAACTCCAAACCCTGAACTCCGGAGCCTTACACCCTTAGAAAGATCTTCGGAGCAAATACAAAGCTTCTTGGCTGACTTTTATTTGAATCTTATAGCCTACACCCGGAATCAAACAAAAGCTGAAACAAAAGGCCCTAAAGCCTTAAACCCTAAACCGACGAGCCCTAAACCTGAGCCCCTAGATCGGTCCTCGGTAGGCTCGGGCTCAGGCTTTTTCTCCTCCTCCTTTAGGATTTCGCGTTCATGGTACAGGATTCAAGGTTTGGGAAGCTAGAATCAGCAAAGGAGTCGGAATCTGGGTTTCCAAAAATCATGGTGTGAGCCCGTAGGCTGTGCAGGCTTCTGGAGCAGGTCTTGCAGCTGTGGGCCTTCCGCAGCCTGCGGCGCTGGCCATTACACTTGTTTGCCCCGCCAACGCTGAGGATGTTGATGATGAGGATGGTGTTTAACCATAATTCTCGTCCTCATCAGTGTCTTCTTCATCATTGTCATCCTGAGCTGCGTCATCTTCAACATGATCACCACCATCATGACCACCATCATCATCACCATCACCAATAACATCATCATCGCCATCGCGATTACAGATAGTGTGCTACAACCGCCACTTTCCACAGGCCTTCTTCTCTTCCTTCTTATCCGCTGCCTGACAACCATTTGTGCAGGCTTGGGGGTGCAAGAGCGAGGTGCACATTCAATCCTCCTTCCACCTGATTCCTCGCTGCCGGGAATTTCGGAGCGCAAGAAGAATCTAGCGAATGAATTTACGCCAAAAGCCATCATCCCTACACCGAAAACTCAAAACTGAAAGGCGGAGCTCCGAAACCGCCAAGGAAGCGCCTCGCTCTTGGCTTCGCCTTTGGCCTCATCGGCCTTTGCTTCCTGCACGCTGGGGATATGAATGAGGTAGCTGTACTTATAATTACTACTTACAACCCAAGTTTGGGGTCTTAAAACCATAACTATTCATAACTACTTATAATTACTTCCTACAACCCTAATTAAGGGTCTTATAACCATAACTATTCATAACTACTCATCCCATGCCGGGCAGGAAGTCTGGAGCCCTGGGCTCGGTGTGCCAGCACTGATGGCATTGGAAAGTGTTGCCATTCCAAGTTTGGGGGTTTTAGTGTTTAGGGTTTAGGGTTTAGTGTTTAGGGTTTAGTGTTTAGGGTTTAGGGTTTAGTGTTTAGGGTTTAGGGTTTAGTGTTTAGGGTTTAGTGTTTAGGGTTTAGTGTTTAGGGTTTAGGGTTTAGGGTTTAGGGTTTAGTGTTTAGGGTTTAGGGTTTAGTGTTTAGGGTTTAGTGTTTAGGGTTTAGTGTTTAGGGTTTAGGGTTTAGGGTTTAGGGTTTAGTGTTTAGGGTTTAGGGTTTAGGGTACAGGCTGGGATTGCAAAGAGAATGTTGATTGTTACTGTCGTACTACTGTTGAAGGCTTACGTTGTTCAAGCCAGGACCACAAACTCGTTTCCATGTCGAGCCAGGCAGCGCAACCCAAGGCTTTGCTAGAACCCCAAATAGCCGCGAAAGAGAGACTCCTCAGAGCTTGAAGCCCGAAAGCCCTAAACCCCGAACCCCAACCCCTCAAACAGTACCAATGTAGGAACCTGATTAGGAAACCTTGGGCCTTTATCAGGGTTCTTTATATGAACCCTAATGTATTGGGGGGGATATAGGGCCAGGGTTTCTTAATCAGGTTCCTACATGTAGGAAGCTGATTAAGAAACCCTGGGCCTTTCACCAGCAAAAATAGTATTATAAGGAACCCTGATAAAGGCCCAAGGTTTCTTAATCAGGTTCCTACATTATTATAATACCCTTATAGATCCTTTATAGTAACCCTTATAGACCCCTTTAAAGGAACCCTTATTTAATCAGGTCCCATTACACCCAACCCCAGGAAGCCCTCAGCCGCAGAGGTACCGGGCCTTTGGGGCTGGCTTCTCGCCCACAGGAGGCGCCTGTGCGTCGTCCACCTGGTCTTGGGTTCAGATTGGGGGCCCTAATAGTTAGGCTAGGGTTCCTTTAAAGGGGTCTATAAGGACTACCATAACGGATCTATAAGGCTCCTATAATATAGGGACCTTAATAATTAGAAGAGGGTTTTGGTGCCCATTATACTATACTTATAAGAAGGAGCCGCCAACATAGCATTGTGCATCACCTTCAGTGTTTAAGCTGAGATAGGGATAGGAGTTTTGCTTCACGTTAGAACTTGTGTTGCCGGCTTAAAGTCTTCAGTGCAGGTGTTCCGTGGTATCTGCTAGGCCAAGTATCTGGGCTTCAGGCTCCGGAAATTTGTGTGGCTTCGTGGCTGCTTACTAGGGAATTCATAGGGGCCCTACAAAAAGGCAGGTTTCGGTAGTACTGATTCCCCTTATCGGCTTAAGTAACCATGTGGCATCACTTCCGGAGCCGGTGCGGGAGGCTAAACCGCTGCGAGCTGCACCCAACTTGGAAGGGCAGGGGACTTAGTAAGTCGTTCATAAGTAGGGTTATAATTGGGGTAACTCCATTTAGGGTACTTATAACTCTACTTATAATGCGTGGGGGATTGATCTCGACTAGGTTGCTGCTCTCCCCACCAGAGCTGTAATGAATGTAGGTGTGGTTGGCTTGCACTCTCCACAGACTGGACCCTGTCTCTCTTACACTTCCACGCGTGCAATCCTATGCAGGCAGAACCGGCGGCCGTTCCTTTTGCACTCACTGCCGGCGGCGGTTCGTCTGTGCAACGGGATAGCTCTGATTGCTCAGGATAGAAGACGCTTATAGCACTTAGCTATGGGCATTGACTTGAGCCAAACGTTGCGTGGGCGGTCACATAGAAAGGTAAAGATGAGGGACGCGTAGCGTGCCCCCTTAGAGTCGAGGGACGCGTAGCGTGCCCCCTTCTCTTGCACTTTACACGGTCTTGCTCACAGCTCTTATAGTGACACCTTAGAACTTGACAAGGCATCGCAGTCCGTTCGCACCCCCCATGAGTTGCGTCTCCGACGCTGCTCACCCGGAAGATGGCACGATAGGACAACAGAAAATATTCCGCCGCAACGTTGACATTGAAAATCAGAGCTTTGCATCCCAATTAGAAACGTTGTGACACTCATCTACGTCAGTAACGATCCCCTGAAATGGCAAACGAATCAGGCGTCACCGAAGAAAGAAGCATTCGCGATGGCATTCCATGGGCGAAGCTCAGAGGTCACGAACTGATAGGCGAGGAAGACCAAGCGTTGATTCATCTCCATCTTCGCGTGGTCGCAGGATCGCGGTCCCAGGGCCGGAGGTTTTCCTCTGGATACTGTTCCCTTTGCTTTCCTTTGTCCTTGCCTTTGTTTCGGCCTTTGCCGGCGGTGTAGTCATAGTAGGTGTTGGCGTTCCAGCCTCCATGCTGTTCACCTCCGGCTCTCTCACGCCCCTTTGAAGGTCCCTTGGCCGAAGAAGCGCTTGCACGTTCCTCCGTAGTGACAGGCGTGTCCAGGATGGAAGTACCACCTGGAGGGAGATAGTCAGCGGCCGAAATGTGGTGTAGGGCTTCAGTACGCTTGGTCGTCGGGTTTTGCTGTCTCTCAGCCTTGGATCTGTTCAATCTGTCCATGAAATGCGCAGGCATTTGCACATTGTGGTCCACCAGCAATCCGATGGTCTGGACTGAATGATCGGAATGAGTCAGCAGGATACCGACGGGGTCGATGTACAAGAAGTCCACCGGTCCAGTTGGCGTTGGTCGTAGCACTGAGAATTGTTGGTGTCCTGTCACCATCGGAATCACCTCGCACAGGACGTTCAGGCAACAAAAGTGCATAGCCTTCACATCTTCATCCCTGTTGCTCTTCAAGTACGTAGTAGGGTTGAAGTTGTCCCTGCCAATTCCCATCATGTTGGCTCCCCGTGTAAGCAACGAAAGCATCTGATTCGTCCGGAAGCGCTTCAAAGTGTAAGTCCCGTTGGGATCATACTGCTTGAGGTTCTCAGGCTCCTTGGCAAAGCGAATGATCTCCTCATCAGTCACATCCTTGCTCACACCCGTTTCCCTGTCCACTGCCGCCAAAGATCCCCACTTTCCGAGCACATCATAGCGTTGGCCAAGTGCGAAATTCTCCTTCATCTGGAACAACGGCATAGTCGCCCACTTTGCGAACCCTGACCAAGCTTTGTAGATGGATCTGCATACCACGTATGCCATATACGAAAGAGCGGCCATGTTGGCGTCAATGCAATGGGCATTTCGCTTTCCAGAATAGTAGGATGGCTGCATGGCGGTACGTGCAAGTTGTAGCTCAGGATCGATGTTCAAAGACTGGCCGGTAATGAAGACGGGACGACGTTCCTGTGCAACTGCATCTGGTACTGCGTCATCAAAGTCCTCTCCTGGCTCTATGTCCATTTCTTCATCAGGTTCCTGTTCTGGATCGTCCTCTGCGATGACAGATGGTTCTGGGATTTCCTCAGGTTCCGCAACGGTCTCTACCTCCATGGCTTCCTGCTCCTCTTCGGGCGCCTCAGGCACTGCTGCTGCTGCGGCTTCCATTGTCTGAGCATGAAGTCACTGGGGATCTCCGTAGGAGTCTCCCGTTGTGGAGAACCTTGGTAATATCCGCTCGAAACGAACTGTGACCAGCAAGACGTGCATCGGGAGAAACATGCTGGAACGATGTTGTAGCATGCCGGGCACACCCTCATTCTCCTTCCATCCTCGTCTCTGCGTAGGTCTTCGGGTCGCCAATTCTTGATGACAAACTTGATCCCTTTGTCCATGTAGTGATGCCGAACCGTGTTCTCCCTGTGGGACTCCAGGACAGTCGTAAGGTCTCGGATGATCTGCTCCTTGCTGGTGTCGTGGGGTCCAGGAGGCATTTCGCAAAGCAATTCCATGATCTTGCTCGGCGTTCGGTATCTCTCGAACTCAGGGAGCAACGGTGATGCATTGTAGTCCAACACCAGCTCTTTCTCCAATCGTTCATCGTAGATCTTTTCCACCAGAGCGAAAGAGTGTGTATCTTGAGGATCCGGGACGCAAAACCATACCTCCTTGACGAAATGGAACGGTATCGTCCGGCCAACGATCATGATGCCGCTGTCTGTGATACGTCCATCTTCTCGTGCAAGGTCCTGCGATGGGACATGGAGGACCGCCAGTGGCATGTGCTTGGCATCTCGTCCATGCACCCGCATCTTGGTCGTCGCGTTCCGGTGATCGAACGGTGCAAACACCCCCCAATAGCTGTGGAGTCTGCCGCCTTGGTTGCCTCGAAATTGGCGCCTATGGTCGAAGTCCCCGTCGGGGTCCTCCGAACCAGGCATGATGCCTTGCGTGACAATGGAATCCAAGTTGCGGCATGCCGTAGCGTGGAACGCGCCTCCAAGACGTTGCAAGAGGGTCATAGATGGAGATATTGCGAACCTGTTCTTGTCCAACTGAAGCAAATTGTTCTGGGGATCTGAGTGCGCAGAGTGACCACTTGTAGCCCGAACTGCCCATGGCTTCACCCAGCCGTTGCAAACGTTCAGGTACCTCTGGCTGTGCCGGCAATGATCATTGTTCTGGATCTCCGTGATCTGGTCAGGAACCGATACCAACATGTTCGAACCTGCGGATCCAAGAGTTTCCACGCCGGGGTCCTTCACTCTCACTCCCAGGAACTGCAACCGAATCTTGGCCTTATGGCGTTTCGTGGCTGCGAGCATGTTCCCTTGGAACAATAGCTGAAGTCTTTCATTGTACACTCTCTTCTTCTGTTGCTCATCGGTCCTTGAGACCGCTTCGGTGATGCGTCTGCTTTCATGGGTCCATAGTTGCTCATGCCTCACCAAGTCTTCGATCATCACCCACCCTCCTTCATCACATCGAATGACGCTGTTGAATGCCACCTGGCACCTGTTGTCAAGCCATTCCGAGCCTGGGCGCCTGGCGATTCTGTGACGTAGGTCAGATTGGATGCATGATAGCGCCCAATCCGCGTTTAGTCTGCGCTGACGGGTGATGTTGCGAAGGACAACTTCGTTCACGATGTCCCATCGATTGTTGATGAAGCTTGCACCCTTGGTTGGGATCAGGTCGAGAATCCCGCACCGGATTGGCCTTCCGCCGCCGATGCATTCATAGCCTGCATTGGTGTAGCCCTGAGTGGTATCGTCAAAAGCAAAGCTAGGACGGTCTCCTCGTTGAGGTAGGCGTCGGTCGCGATGGTCCGAAAGCTGCGCAATGAGGTCCACCACCCGCTGGCTATTCTCTGGTCCTGATTCCTGCAGTGGTACGCCACAAGCATCATGTAGGCCCCGACGGTTCTCCACATCCGTGCAGAGATTGTGTTTGTTCTCATAACGGATCAAGACCACATCACCCCGTACGGCTTCGCCTCCGCGTCGCGGTCGGGCTTTGGCCTTGGGTCGTCGGTCCGAGGATGCAACACTCACATGGTCTGTGGTGTCAACGTCCATTGGCTCAGCCTCTTGTGGAGGTACTCGACGTGGATATCGAAGAAGGCTTTCCTTGATGATCTGGATGCCTCGAAGTACCAGATCCCGGGTTGCAGAATTTTCCGTGCAATTGGACAGAGTGTGTAGATCACTGCCACAAGCGATACAGAACGTGAGGCGGTCATTTCCGACCGACATTTCGCCTTGAGCGAGCACTCCCACATAGTCCTGAAGCTGTGCGACAAATCCTTCACGAATCGCCTGCCTGGGATCAGGGCCTTCTGCACCTTGTTCTTCTTCGGGTTGCGCATCCACATCTACATCCTGTGCAGGTATTGGTGGAGCAACGGAGAACCCTGGATCGTCCGTGACGTTGTCAGCGGCCTGTGTCTCGTCGGTTCTCGCAATCTCTACGGGGTAGATATCACCATCGACGATCACTGTGAAATCAATCACGAGGTCAGCGGACATGTTGTTGACGATCTCAGCGACTGCTTCATTCTTCTTGGGCGGTGTCCTTTTGCGTGGGGAGTCAACCGTGATCAGCTCGATAGCT